AGTTATTTCTCCTATAACATTTATTAATACTTTGAAACTCTTTGTGTTTAATAGTTTACATTCATTATAGGCAATAACTTTTTGTATTAATACTAAAAGCACCTTCTAATATTTCTATGTGACACTGCATATAAGTAAAATGTAAACATTTTTCATCTTGATAAACTATACAATTCTTATATATAAAAAAAAGGAGGTCATCTAACCATCTATACTAGGTCTAAGAAATTTATAAAAAATTACATAGGGGTAAGTAGAGACTATATGGTAAGGTATGTGATCTCACAATAGGCTTCATGTCATGATCATGTGCAACTGTGCATTGATCATATGACATTCCTCAAGATCTCCCTTTTGTCAATTGTGGTTATTCAAGAACGTTTGCTTTCTTCCCACTTTTATAGGGTTAAAGCCAACTGTTGTCCCCCTACTTTGTGGAAAAGTTCAGTTTAACCCTTCTACTATGGAGTCACGTTAGACATCCCTCTACTCCATTTTGAGCTCACATGCCCTCCCTCTACCATTCAAAAAGTGATCAATTTTGTCCCTCCATGCATCCATTACATGGCTAACACTGTCACTTTTAACTATTAAAGCCTAATGGTTTGGCATTTAACATATATATATATATATATATGCTTTTCTCCAATTTAGCTATAATAGGACCCATCAATGCCACATCATACTCCATATTAATATCTTTATGCTCAATTCATTTTTTTCTTCAAAACAGATTTCTCATATTTTTGTATATAGGATAATTTATATTTTTAACTATATTACTTCAAAAATTACTTTTTAAAATTGTATTTTAATTGCATATTTTTATTATAAATGTATATATAAAATTATAAAAACTAATATTAATGTTAATATTAGTGTCAAGTGAATGAATTTAATTATACAGTTTATAAATTAAAAGTTAAATTTTATTTTTTTAGTATAAATTAATGACAAAATTGCATATTTATTGCCTTTTAGGGCATAAGTTAAAAAAACTCTTTTAAAAATAAAAAATATTTTTTATAATAAGATAAATAATTAAAATTATGAGATAATAATAAGATTAAACTATAAAAAATACTTTTTTTATAAACTATAAAAAATGATTATTATTTAAAACCAAATTAAAAAAATATTTGTTCCCTAAAATAAATGAAGAAAAGTTGACATATATAAAATAAAGCACAACATTCTTTATTAGTACCTTTTTTATTTGTATTTCAACTTAATTATGTATTTTATTATAAGTATAAAGTCATATGTTTCTTTATGTATATGTATTATTTTTTCATATTTATAGTTAAGGTGTTTCTAAATCAACTTTCTTGTATCTCAAGACTAATATTTATCTGAGTTATTTTAAAAACACACCTCTCATATCGGCTAGTGCATTTATGGGAACTTATGTTTATATATTATGTATAAACTAAAATATATATTTTGCAATAGGTTTAATTATATTTTAATTTGTATTAAAAGGTTATAATATCTAACAAATATACAAGTATATATGCAGGTATATCTATACTCAGCAAATTAAATAATAAAAATAGACTTTCAATAATTGAGTAAATACTAAGTATCAAAATTTTATATCTATTAATTTTCAAATTAAATACAAATATAAGCAAATACTTCACTCATATACCTACTTAGCCTACTTATATACATGAATAGAATTGCAAATTGTAATCACACATTAGACCACCCAAAACTTACAGTTAAAGGAATAGTAGTAGGTAATAGAGATTTTTCTTTTTCTAGTTATAATTTTTTCAACCTTGATAAAATTCAAAAAAATTTTATCTATATTTTTAAAGAATTTAATTTACTTGATTACGTACTATAGTTTTAAAAAATATTCCTTTTATTGACTCAACTAAAAAGTTAATAAAAAGAGATAAATAAATCGTGGCTTTTAATTTTAAAAAAAAGTTGATAAAATATTCATGCAAAAATACATTAATAAGAGGTATGATGTGGCATTGGTGGGTCTCATATAGCTAAATTGAAAAACATAATAATATAGAAATATATGTTAAACGCCAAACGTTAGGCTTTAACAGTTAAAAGTGACGGCGTTAGCCATGGAACGGGTAAAGGGACGAAATTGATCAAATTTTTGAATGGTAGAGGGAGGGCACGTGAGCTCAAAATGAAGTAGGTGATTCCATGGTAAAAGGGTTAAATTGAACTTTTTCGAAAAGTAGAGGGATGAAAGTTGACTTTAACCCCATTTTTATAACTTAACAATATGAAAATTCTTGAATAAGTCCAAACATCATATGATCCATACCCATCTAGAACAGAGGTGAGTTGGGGATTGAATCAATTTCCTGTTTTTTCTATACTAGATTCAATAAAACACAGATCAAGAAAATGATCAGCACAAATACCAAAATGATGGATCTTTAGCCATCAGAAGTAAAAAAAGTTGGTACTTACATATACATACATACTCAGCATGAGGAGGTGGTTGGCAGACCTAATTTCTGTGAGTAAGTAACTTTGAAACAGTACTCTTAGGACAGAATTGAGACCTCTGCAATCAAAAGACAGAGCATCTAGTTTTTAGTTTCCCCCCTTTTTGATATTGCAACTATTTATAAAGTTAGGAGAAGAATTAAACTTAAAGTTTTCAGAATCTAATTCTCTTAAGTACTTTTTAATTTCTTACCTTTATATCAGAGTCATGGTTTTGAGTCCGTAGATGCCAACTAGACTAGGCTAAAGTAAGTTTAATTATAATAATGTTTATGTTTAGAATATGTTGGATTAACCAACTTTTATGTAGTAAATTTGGTTTGCTTTAGAGTGCATGCTGCAAAGAACTTTCTGTATAATGAACTTACCAGGAAATGCTAAATCCAGAGTCTGATTTGTTAGAATCAGAATTCAGTTCACATGGTAAAAGACAAATCTACTCCTATCTCAATGAAGACCTGGAACATTCATCTACTGAAATTTGGGTGCAATGACCGGTTGTAGATCCATAACAATAAGTTGAAGAGTGACCTCTTTTGTAGTTTGCGATAGTTTCAATATTAGAAAGTTTTAAGTACATAAATTTTCCAAGTCTCGTAGGATATTTATTTTTTAGTCAATATGTAATGGAGGGTGATAGATTGTGATGTGCACAAATTATCATCTTTATTTTTATTTAATAATTTAAATTGTATAATTCAATACAATTTAAATTAGACAATACTTTTTTTTATAAACTATAAAAAATGGTTATTATTTAAAACCAAATTCAAAAAACATTTGTTTCCTAAAATAAATAAAGAAAAGTTGACATTTATAAAATAAAGCACTAAATTCTTTATTAGTACCTTTTGTATTTGTATTTCAATAGAATTATGTATTTTATTATAAGTATAAAGTCATATGTTTCTTTATGTATATGTATTATTTTTTTATATTTATAATTAAGGTGTTTCTAAATCAATTTTCTTGTATCTCAAGACTAATATTTATTTGAGTTATTTTAAAAACACACCTCTCATATTGACTAGTGCATTTATGGGAACTTATGTTTATATATTATGTATAAACTAAAATATATGTTTTGCAATAGGTTTAATTATATTTTAATTTGTATTAAAAGGTTATAATATTTAACAAATATATAAGTATATATGTAGGTATATCTGTACTCAACAAATTAAATAATAAAAATAGACTTTCAATAATTGAGAAAATACTGAGTATCAAAATTTTATATCTATTAATTTTTAAATTAAATATAAATATAAGCAAATACTTCACTCATATACCTGCTTAGCCTATTTATATACATGAATAGAATCGCAAATTGTAAGCACACATTAGACCACCCAAAACTTACAGTTAAAGGAATAGTAATAGGTAATAGAGATTTTTCTTTTTCTAGTTATAAGTTTTTTAACCTTGATAAAATTCAAAAAAAATTTATCTATATTTTTAAAGAATTTAATTTACTCGATTACTTACTATAGTTTTAAAAAATATTCTTTTTATTGACTCAACTAAAAAGTTAATAAAAAGAGATAAATAAATCGTGACTTTTAATTTTTAAAAAAAGTTGGTAAAATATTGATGCAAAAATATATTAATAAGAGGTATGATGAGGCATTGGTGGGTCTCATAGAGCTAAATTGGAAAAAAAAAATAATATAGAAATATATGTTAAACGCCAAACGTTAGACTTTAACAGTTAAAAGTGACGGTGTTAGCCATGGAACGGATGAAGAGACGAAATTGATCACTTTTTGAATGGTGGAGGGAGGGCACGTGAGCTCAAAATGAAGTAGGTGATTCCATGGTAAAAGGGTTAAATTGAACTTTTTCGAAAAGTAGAGGGATGACAGTTGACTTTAACCCCATTTTTATAACTTAACAATATGAAAATTCTTGAATAAGTCCAAACATCATATGATCCATACCCATCTAGAACAGAGGTGAGTTGGGGATTGAATCAATTTCCTGTGTTTTCTATACTAGATTCAATAAAATACAGATCAAGAAAATGATCAGCACAAATACCAAAATGATGGATCTTTAGCCATCAGAAGTAAAAAAAGTTGGTACTTACATATACATACATACTCAGCATGAGGAGGTGGTTGGCAGACCTAATTTCTGTGAGTAAGTAACTTTGAAACAGTACTCTTAGGACAGAATTGAGACCTCTGCAATCAAAAGACAGAGCATCTAGTTTTTAGTTTCCCCCCTTTTTGATATTGCAACTATTTATAAAGTTAGGAGAAGAATTAAATTTAAAGTTTTCAGAATCTAATTCTCTTAAGTACTTTTTAATTTCTTACCTTTATATCAGAGTCATGGTTTTGAGTCCGTAGATGCCAACTAGACTAGGCTAAAGTAAGTTTAATTATAATAATGTTTGTGTTTAGAATATGTTGGATTAACCAACTTTTATGTAGTAAATTTGGTTCGCTTTAGAGTGCATGCTGCAAAGAACTTTCTGTACAATGAACTTACCAGGAAATGCTAAATCCAAAGTATGATTTGTTAGAATCAGAATTCAGTTCACATGGTAAAAGACAAATCTACTCCTATCTCAATGAAGACCTGGAACATTCATCTACTGAAATTTGGGTGCAATGACCGGTTGTAGATCCATAACAATAAGTTGAAGAGTGACCTCTTTTGTAGTTTGCGATAGTTTCAATATTAGAAAGTTTAAGTACATAAATTTTCCAAGTCTCGTAGGATATTTATTTTTTAGTCAATATGTAATGGAGGGTGATAGATTGTGATGTGCAAAAATTATCATCTTTATTTTTATTTAATAATTTAAATTGTATAATTCAATACAATTTAAATTAGACAATACTTTTTTTTATATAAATTTAAATATCATAAGTTTTTTCTTTTTTTAATATAATGAGGAAAACCTTTATTCATTGCTCAAGGAATTTGGATTTTGGAAGGTAAATCTTAAAGACAACCACTGTATCCAAAATTACTATAATAGGACAATTATAAATAATTTTATCCCAAGATGACAAAATACACTGATAAGGAGTAAGGAATAGAAAAAAGGTGAGAAATCTATCCATCAATTAAAAGAAAGGGGAAGAGAAATCTCTACAAAGTTCAATTCAAGCAATCCTAGCACCAACATATAAAGATTGCAAGATCACCTTTCAAATTTTCAGAGAAGAATTGCACAAAATACCCACACTTCATATTATGTACAATTCTCCAAACCCCATCACTAATACAAATTTCAGAAAAAAAAAAGAAAAAAAGAAAAAAAAAAGATAAGATAAAAAGCAGAAAGAAAAAGAAAAAATGACTCAATCCCCAATAACTACACTTTCCACCTAGAAATGTGAAAGTCAAAATAGAAAAAGAACCAAGTCATACACTTCTAGCAAGCATTTCTTGAAACCTCCTATAGGACTCCACCTTCTCCAACAGAAACTTCTCATGGCAACTAGCAATGAACATATCCGCTAGCTTATCAATCTCATTCACTTCTATTTCCTCGCCCGACTTGTCTTCTAGCCATTCCAAGTACCCGGAGAGTTGAGACTCCGTGCCGTCCTCACACTTCTGATCGGTAGATATGACCGAATTCCACGTTGAATCACAGTACAAATGTGTCTCAGGTAACCTGTCCAGGACGACCGGAGGAGGTACGGGTACCACATGGGAGGAGCACCAGTTGTAGTGCAGCCTAAATGAACCAAAATATATTTTCCTGTTCTTGCGGTTCTTTAATTTCTTGGTGGGATAAAGAATGAAGCGGATGGCTTGGTTTTCTTTAAAGGTTTGGATGATTATTGATTTTGCCTTGGAGAGAGCTCGAACAACACGAGAAATGTGAAAGCGAAAAAGGGTTTGGATTAAGTTTTTGATCTTCATGGAGCTTAAGGTAGAAGAAGAAGAAGAAGAAGAAGAAGAAGGAAGAGGCGCCATGAGTGAGAAAGCTTGAAGAGGGTGCAAGGTTTTTAGATAAGAGATGGACCAACGATATTTTTTAGGATGGTGTGTGAGGGAATCAACGATCTTGTTCAATTATAAAGGATCTCGATTACCACTTTACCCCTAAACTTTTGGGTAATTTGAAGGCTATGCCATTCCTTTGGAAGCTTTTTCCTTTTATGAACTTAGAAATGATAAGGACTTCTTGGCCTGACCTAATGACTTACTGGTAATTTCCATTGTTTAGAAGTAAGCAGTTCTGAATACTACATTTTTTTTTTTTTTGATAAGGTAATGGTTACGAAGTTAGTATGAATTAGTTGTTAGCAACTGGAGATTCGATCCCCAGATCAGGTGAACATTTCACCCCCTCAAATAAGGTGCACGGTCATCAAGTCGCTTTTTGGTGGAGTTCACGACGGTGGTAAAGCTCGAAACTCCGACCACCTCACCCAAGCACTTAAGACTTGGGATTGAACCATTAAGTTTAAAGGCCCAGTTACTTAATACTACATTTAGACCATACAATACGGTAGGTAGACTGAGTAAAAGGACGAAAAAAAGGTTAATTCTCGTTCTGTGTTGTAAAGTAGAAATGATGATACGTTATATTGCTTGCTTCAATTAATGCTGCTTAGAACTAAAGTAAGCCCTTTAAACTAAGTTAATTCCAGGATAAATTAATCACAGTAAAGTCCAAAATTAATTAATTAAGCTGGTTTCTCTGATTAATTAACATTAATAAGTTCAGTGAAAATGTTTCCTCAGATCTAATGTAGAAGGGGGCTTGGAATCTCTAGGATTCTGCAGGTAAAGCGAGAAAAACAAAATCCCTAAGCTTTTTCTACCATAAAACCCGCTGATATTTTTTGAAAATTTGGTATCTTTGCCAGGAGAGTGTTTAAAATGCAAGAAATCTGAAAGATTATGAAATTTTTGCACCTGTTAAAAATTTTAAAAAAAATACTTAAGCAGTATTCGAGGGCGGCGATTAAGGCTTAATATCAGCCAAAATTACCAACCCAAGGATTAATATAATGCAGCTAGCTAGCTATGCTTCCTGGTAGTTTTGCAATTAGAAATACATTGCTTGGAAGCAAAACTGTTAGCTGCTGATCTCAGGCAGTGCACATAGTTTGGCTTTTGGTGTGATGCAATTGGGCATTTCTTTGAACAAGTCTCTTAAGTTTCAGCACCACAAATTGGCATTTCTTTTTACAGGTCTCAAGAGTCTGTTTGGAAATTATATGACTTTTGAACAAGTGCCTTTCTTAGTAAAATTTTTTATTAGCTTATTTGGCCCTGCTTATTTTTATCTCTAATAAATTACTAGCTAGAACAAGTCAAGCCAAATACAATTTTCTTAAAAATTCTTCTAATTTTATACATGCTAAAGTTATATATATGTATAGTTTTTAAAGTAAAGATCGAGTTCGACTTTTATTTTACATTATCAAAAATTGTTTTAAAAGTTAAAGCATCCTGACATATGTTTAACTTTTTAGTCTCTTTGTTTTTTAATCTCTGTGGTAACAACATACAGGTGGGCTAGGGGGCCAGCTTCTAAAAACCTGGAAGCTTCATTAGAAGAGAACCGGAATAAGCATAATTTCCTAACACCTTGTTGGAATCAAATCCAAGAGAATCTCAATCTAACTTTGTAAAATACAAGGGGGTTGTTGTAGACTTAAACACTAAGTAATAAATTATTCATAGTGCTTAGACTGTTAAACATGATAAAGATCTGACCTTTCAGGAATTACATCACAAAAAAAATATTGATGATGATAGTGATTATTTTGTTATCTGTCGTTTTGATTCGTATATAAAAAAAAAAAAAACAAAACAAAACAAAAGGATAAACACAACTTAACCCACCAAAAACCCCAAGGATTAGGGAAAATAAAGGGATTTGTTATGGACTTTGGTGAACAAAGTAAAAAGGGTATTGACGACTTGAGAAAAATAAAAAGCAAAATCAATCGAAAAAAGTTTAAGAAAGTAAATCTCAAATCTTATCAATTGAAGCACAGCACCTATTTATAATGAGTCGAAAAATGATAAAGGGGACAAATTTTATGAGAACAAATTTTGAGATCAATGACATAACATGAATTACGTTATTTAAAATATTAAAATATAAATTTTATATTATTGAACAAATTAATTCTTTTTATTTTATTTGAATCCGTAATCTTATATATATCAACACATTTAATGACATGATTCACAACACATCATTAGTTCCAAATTTTAATTTTAAATTTTCATCATCTATATCACTACTCTAATGAATCATTTTCTGGAAAAACTAAATTTCAACTACTTTTAGGGCAGATTTTCAGTTCATCCTATGAGATGAATTCGTTGGTATCTAAAATTGATTTTTATTTGAATCCTTAATATTATATACATCAATTCATTTAATAATATAATTTGTATCACATCATTAGTCCCAAATTTTGGTTTTAAATTTTTGTTCTCTATATCACTACTCTAATGAGTCATTTTCTGGAAAAACCAAATTTAAACTACCTTTAGGACAGATTTTCAGTTCATCCTATGAGATGAATTCGTCGGTGTCTGAAATGATTTTTGTCTGCGATTATTGTTAAACGTGGGATACTTCGTGCAAGTAATTACTTGTATACCTGAAATTGTACCTACTGCATGCTTTGGTAGCAATGAGAAGTCAACAATGTTTTTTATCCATAATTTCCACAAGAGATGATGCAAGGTTTTAACCTATAATTAACCCTTTTTTTAATGTACCAAAATTGAATAAGTAATCAAAACCCTTACCTCAAATTGCATGATGTACCTTCTTTAAGGGGTTTCTTACGTAATGAAAAACTAGATATTTAAAGTTAAAAATCTTAAATTTAAATTTTGAATCAAGTGGGAAGGGTTAAGTGAATATAGAGTTATCTCTTATTATATGATCCATCATTTGATATGTCAAAAAAAAAAAAATTACATGATGTACCACTTAACTTCTGAAATGATCTTCTCAGCTACAAAGCTGAAATTACCCAAAACGCAATTAATTCAGGGGGATCGAACCAAACAATATTCAACGAAGATGAAATCTACATTAATTAGTTGTTATAACTGATAATTGGCGGACTTAATATAAGATGAGTTTGAATTGTTCACATGTGTTGAGTACTAATAATTTTTGTGTTCAGATGGAGCATTCACATTAGGATAAGTTATAATTAGGAAACAGACTTGCAAAACCAAATCCATCCCCTATAGTTGTGGAAGTTATTTAATGTTGTGATTATGATTCTTAATTTTTGGGGTACAAATATAAAAATGTCAATTGCTAGGCAAGCAAAACCAACACATGGAATTGGTACTTATAAAGACAAAACCGAGAGAACAATATGGTACACAGTTGTTGATCTTATCTTTCCTTCAAGTTTAAATATTTGGTTTCAGTTTGAAGTTGAAGAGACAAGGATTAGATGCCCCTACAAGTGTTTCAACAATTATTTTCTTATTCTAATTTTTAATTAGGTTACATATTATCTGTTAGTTGAGACTTTTTTTATTCATTATAGCTCTATTTGGTTTAACTATTTTAATAGCTTATGTATTTCCTTTTGAAATATAGTAGGAATCAAAGTGGGAGTTAAAAAATGCTGTCAACTCAACTTTACTCTGTACCTAAAGATAAAATTGGAAGATTGCAACCCATCACTACTTCCCTTTATATATTGATTATATTCCCCTTACAATCCCTTGTCACCGTTACAAATTAAAGGTCCCATATATGTAATTCAACAATTGAACTTTCTATATGTTTATCTCTTGCATTCAATTCTGAAATTTCCCTTTTCTTATTTCGTTTTTAGCATCTTTTTTGATATAAAGATGAAGGATCGATCGATGTGAACAGGGACGGAGCCAGGGGGTGCAAGGTGGGGTGCTCGCCCCCCCTAGACTTTTGACAATAATTAAATAGGCCCTATACTTTTTTAAAAAAGCAAATAAACCCTTTTTGAAAAAAATAAAATGGGTGTGTTCTAACTTTTTTT